GGTGGGCTGAGCTGGCCACACACACACACCTCTCTCTCTCTCTCTCTCTCTCTCTCTCTCTCTCTCTCTCTCTCTCTCTAATAAATAAAAAAAAATTAAAAAAAAAGAAATGGGGTTGTTGCTATGTCTTTACTTTACTTGAGCATGTGGTTCAGAACCCTTTGGAACTGGTTGTTGGAAATGTTTGCAAAGGTTTTGAGATATGGACTGAAGAGGTAGCCCTGGATGCTATAAGCTGAGTTAGACGGAAGATTCTGGTTAAAGCTCAGAAGAGCAGGATGCTGATTTAAAAAAAAAAATGAGATGGGAAAGGCTAGGATCCTGATTCTTCAATTGGAAACAAGAACTCCAGGCCATGTGTATTACACTTTGACAAAGTTTTTCTTCATTTTTCTCCGTTTCTGAAACTTGAAGGATACTAAGATTAAGAACAGTATACAAATTAGACTTGAGGGAATTTCAAGGCAGCCTAATGTTGAGATTGTGGCATATCCACTATTGAAAATGAAAAACAATTTTTTTTAAGTTTATTGTATTTGATAGAGGGTCTCACTACTCAGTTTGGACTCATAGTGATCCTCCTGTTTTCAGCTTCCCTAACGCTGAGGTTACAGACATGCACAAGATTATACCTAGACTTGGTGGCTGAGCCCAGGGGTGGGACCGGCATGGCCTGTGATGTGGGGGATCAAATCTAGTCCATGCACTTGACTAAGAAGGCGCTTTACTCTGCTGACCTATCTCACAGGCCCTAAAAGTACAGTTTAATTTTAAAAGCATTGAATTTTACCAGAAAAGAATCTCCTGTATTTGGGGCCTGTCAAAATAGAAGAGAAAAGAGCTTTTTTCCCTGAAAATATTAGCACTGAAAAGAAGCCAAGAACTTTACAATGGCATGACAACAAAAATTGCTTGAGGCCATCCCAGGAAACAGCAAGACCCCTCCCTTCACTGCTTCAGGATACATCACTGAAAGAATTTGCTTTGAGAAGAAAACCTCAGCATACTCTGGTGAAGGGCCACCTAAAGAATTAATTTCCAACAATTCATATTACCAAGTTTACCCATCCAAGTACTGAAGGGCCTTTGCAAGATGCAAAAGAACTCAACTACTGCTCCAGCTGGCAGCAGACCTTAGTGTCTGCTGGTTTTAAAGCATGTAGAATGCAGGAGTTGTAAGAACCAGGAGACTTCCACTCAGATTTCAGAAAATAGGGAAGCTAGACAGTGTGTCCTTAGGGCACAGAACTTGAAGATGTGAGTGTAAAACCAAAAGTCTTTGGACATCCCAGGATGCTAGAAAAGTCAGGAAATTGGAATATCTAAGGAGAGCTGCAAATAATACAGGAAGTTATACAAAGATCTAAGTGATGAGTGTTAAAATCGGGCCAGGACTACCCAAGCTGTTGGAGCCTACACATTGTCAATTCTTGCTTCTAATGCTAGGCATAGAGCCAGCTACAGGATATAATGTTTGCCCTGTTGAGATTTGTCTTGATTTGGTCCCATTCCTTTCTATTCCCCTATTTTTCCCTTTTAGATTGGGAATGTTTCACCAGTACCTTTCTTTTAACTTTCTTTTGATTTTTATAGGGGCTCATAGCTAATGGTTTGCCTTAAATCTCAAAAGGGACTTTGGACTTGGACTTTTCAACAGTGCTGGAACTGTTAGGTCTTTGGCAACT